TTATGCTAACATTATTGTCTCGAAAGACTTTTTTCAGAATTTTTTTTTAATTTCATTTTGATATATTTTTTTTATATTTTCCCATTCAGTGTGACAATTTTAAAAGCGTAGTACTTTCATAGTTGTAAAATACCGTTACACAAAATCATTAATTATTCAAGGCAAACACTATTGTTTCTTTTCTGTTATCCAATGCACAAGAAACTTTTGCAATTTTGTAAATGTTTATTGATAAAAAAATTTCATGTTACTAAAGATGTAACTATTTTTTAAAACAATTTTTGAAAGTGTTTAAGTAAAATAATTTAAATTGTAAAATTCATCACAAATGGAAGTGATACATTTATTTATTAAATTAAAAGCAAATAAATCATTAATATTTGATTTAAAATGTTGGTTAAGAAATATATCTGAGAAAAATCATTTATTTGTCGGGTGACTTTAACAAATTTGCATCAAGCAAGTAGTCATAATAAACAGCTAGTCATTCAGAAAAAAGTTACTGTGTATAATGTTTAAATATAAATTTATGAAAAAGTTTTGTATTTTTTATATTGTATTATTAATATAAATTTAATAAAATCATGTTTTCCAAAAATATTCCGATATATGTCAATATTTGAATTTGTACTGCTTAAGCTTGTGAACTATTTCAATGCAGAACTTTTTTTTTAAAAAAAAGAGATACGAGGATTTTTTTTTATGGTTTTTAGATTTATTTAGTACATTTTAGAGAAAAATATGCTAAAATTAAGAAGAGAAAAAGAAACTATTATTAGTAAAATGGAAAAAACTTGATAAAAATTTACGGACATTTTCATAAATGGGGCCTATTTTGTACAAAAAATTAATGTACAAATTTTCAAGTTTGATGTGTTTCTTTGCTATTCATTTTTGAAAATACCCTCAGGATAAGAGATATTTTGATTTTTGCAAAAACTAGACCACTTTATCTTAGTCATTATATGAAATTGCTTTAAAAAAAAGTGATCATATTCACATAAAGGACTGGAAAATTTGTAATAAATCAGTGATTGATAAATCTGAAAGTTAAAACACTTTTACTATTATACAGAACATAAATGAAAAATTTCAATTGATTATTTTCAAACCTTTTTGAGCAATCGCTGTTCCCGTTTGAGCATTTTCAAAAAAGCACATTTCGAGTAAAACGCGTTTTAAAGTATGACATCTCGCTTAAAGTAGTGGCATCTACGTTTACTAAAAAGCTTGTAGTTTTTGTTCCAGTGAAGGGAAAGTAATAAACTTAGTATTTTTATAAAGCTAATAAGATAATCAATAAAATTAAATCATAAAAAATGTATTGGCAAAATTTACGATTTTAGAGTTATCGGATACTTTAAACTATACTATGCCTGGCAAACTGAGAAAATAATGTGGAACAAAATAGCATGACTTTAAATAGTCCCACCCCTTATACACATATACACATAGTGGATGAATATTGTAGTTTGTTAATTATTGTTAAGTATTGCTTAAAACTATAATCTAACTGTTTGATTATTGTTCAAATTATTTATCGAGTTGCAAAAAACACTCATTGAATGCTCATTTCAGCATAAAATTTATATTCTTGCAATAAGACTACTTCCTAAAATTATATCAATTTTGGTAAAAAGAATTCTCGGTCACGATTTAGCTATAAATCCTTTTAAATAAATTAAAAACTTTAAATTATTTATTAAATTAGCTTGCTCTTTCTATAAGAGACTAAATATGTCAAATATAATTTTATTACTAAAAATAAATTATAATATTCAAAAAAATTATTATTAAAATTTCTGAGTGCAGCAATAACAACCACACGTAATATTAATTATTTTCTGATATTGTTGAAAAAAAGCTAAATGTTTTTGTATGCTTTTTTAGACAGCTAGAAATTAATTTACACACTGATGCTTTAAAATATTAAAATATTACAGTATTATTTTATAAAGTCTGCCGAATGCTTCATATACAAGAGCTTGGTCGAATGAGTTTTTCATCGTAAACAATAAAGATAAGCGTCATATGGTAATAACAACAGAAGAAAAATTGATGCAGAAAAATTGTCTACTCCAGTTTATTCTTAGCTAAGCAAAAAACTTTCCATACCTTAAGCTATTGATTGGGTAGTTTCCTCCAAATATTTTCCATCGTATAGTAGTCTTTCCATTTACGAAAATGCAGTTTAAAATCGATAGTTTTTCAACTAGGAGAAAAATAGGGAAGAGATAGAAAAGATAGTATCTCTTTTTATTTCTAATATATTTTTAGATATTTTTAACACGCTTTTATTAGCTTCACCTGTATGTAACGAAATCTTTGAACTCGAGTTTTACCTACTTTATAAGGTCAGACTAATTCGAAATTTTGCACACTTGTCAAGGACTGAAAACAATACAATAATTTAATGGTACTGTTCCATTTTCCTGATCAGGATCATCAGGAATAACGATTTTCCATTTCCAGATTTGGCGAGTAAAAGATTAAGTTCATACCCTAAAGCGAAAACACTCATAGTTAATACAAATACAACAAACAAAAAAGATTAATTCATCAACGAATAAATGATGGCTTGAAAAATCTAAAAAAACACGCTTTTATTGTAAATTGAACTGAAAAATAAAAAATAAATTATATTTTTAAAAAACTAAAAAATACGCTTTTATATAGTTAATCGAACTAAAAGGTAAAAAAAAAATTCTTAATATAGGAATAAAATTATTAACGAAAAAATTAATGTCATTGTGGTAAATTGTGGGGAGCTCGATATCAATTATTATAATTTCTTACTGGTTCTATTCCGAAATGAAGAGTTAACGACAAAGTGTAATACAACGCACCCTACGCTTTTACCACAATGGCATTAATTTACTCGTTAGTCATTTTATTCTGATATTAAGAATTATTTTTTACTTTTTAGTTCAATTAAAAAACTATAAAAGCGTGTTTTTTAGTTTCTTATAAAACTATAATTTATTTATAGAATCGATTAGCTCACGGATATTTTTCTAACTTATTGCTTGTATTCTTTGTATTCTCAGCTTGTAATTCAACTTAAAAAAAAGAATATTATATGAAAATATATGCAATATACCAAATGGCAGTAATCAAGTTTATGAAAAATCCTTTATTCTTCCTTTTAATTTATATTATTAAATTTGCATTCCATTCTTATATTAATACATCTATTATACACTCATGTCCATAAATTAAGGATAATGAAGTGTTCAGACAAAGAAAGAGACAGAAGCAAAACAAATTTGACTTATTCGTAAAGTCTATTTATTAAACAAAAGGTAAAGAGCAAAACAGATGCTATATGTTTGACATAATTAGTAAACATTACGAATTTTACTCCCTGGAGCAAATTTCAAAAAAGAACCTATTTACAAAAAACAGTATAACATTGTTAGTATGATGGTTAATACGGAGTATGTCTCCCGGATGATGCAATACAGGCCTTACAACGCCTAGGCATGCTGAGTATCCAATTATCAATCTGATCTTGGGGAATATTACACCACTCATCAAGCAATGCCCTTCGAATTTCGGGTGGACAGGTGGGAGGGGGTTGACGGGCTTCAATTCGTCGGTCAAGCATATCCCACACATGCTCTATTGGGTTCAAGTCCGGTGAGTATGCTGGCCAATCCATACGGGTGATATCCTCCGATTAAAGGCATTCGTCTACAATGTTTGCACGGTGAGGACGGGCGTTGTCATCCATAAACAGAAATTCAGCACCCATGGCGCCCCGAAAAAAAACGTTCATGTTGTTCCAGAATGACATCCTGATAGATGTGGCCTGTCATCGTTACACTCTGAACATGCAGGTCAGTTCTGGAACCAAGAATAATTCCTCCCCAAACGAGCCATCCTGCACCACCGTAACGGTGTCGTTCAATGGTGTTCTCTTGGTGTAGTAACGGATACCTCGCGCTCTCCATATTAAAGTCCGGCGAGAATCAGACTGCAAAATAAACCTGGACTCGTCAGAAAACATCACACAAGACCACTGTTGTGGTGTCCACAATCCATGCTTTCTACTCCAGGTTAATCGCAGGCGACAGTGAGTTTCGGTAAGTGGAACACATCTGACAGGCCTACGAGCATATAGACCAATGTGCCGTGAGCGTCTGTACACGGTCTGCCTTGAAACTGCCATACCGGTAGCTGAAAGGAGCTGACGATACAGGTCTGATGCTGTGCTCCGTCTGTTTGTTTTGGCAGTAACTGCCAAATACCGGTCCTCATTCGGCGTTGTAACTCGGGGGCAACCTGTGCTGTAACATCTACTCACATTACCATCATCTTGAAATCGTTGCCAAAGCCTGGAGATGACACTCTGGGCGATTCCAAGTTCCTCGGATACTTCCAGCAAGGGTACGTCTACATTCCAGTCGTCCAATAATTCTACCACGTAAAAAATCATCCAAATGCTTCCTTTGTGCCATAACTATGCGGTTATATCACGGAAATGCTTTTTAAGCGCTTGTGAACAATTTTACTTCTTTGCCACTATTCCTTATATACCCCTCTCTTACACTCTCGTCATTGTGACGTACTATCCGCACTATCTGGTGGTTTCCTGTAATTTGCATATTCTTCTTCAAGATGTGTGTGATAATTCTACAGGTGAAATTTTTATTTTACAGTTCGATTTCTGTGTGATTCTGAATTATCCTTAATTTATGGACATGAGTGTATAGGTTTCAATTATATTAATATCATGTTTTTCACACTTCCTACTATTAGTTCACTCTCTCCCTATATATATTTATTAATATATATATATATATCTTGTTCAAGTTTTCATTCGTTAATAAAATACTTTTTATTCATTCCTTCAAGTTCAAATATATTTTTTTAAACTTGTCGTGGATGACACTTGATGTTAATACAGTTTTTTTCAAATATTAATTAATGAATAAATAGTAACAAACACAAAGATAATAGTCCAACAGGCATATATAGAAAGGAAAATTATTCGTTGTGTCCCTGTAGCGCAATGAATAGTGTGTGTGTGCGTTGGACTTCTAATCCAAAGGTTGTGGGCTCATATCCCACCAGGGATGGCCAATTTCTGATAATATGATTTCTTATTAATATACTGTTTTGTTGGAATAATTAAATTTAATTAATGAATAAATAGTAACAAAAAGAAAGTTTAGTGTCCAACACACACACCCTATATGAAAAGGAAAAAATCACTTTCTATTTTGCCACTAAATATTGTGATTATGTCATATGTATATACATATTTGTATTAATTGTAATTATTTAATAAAAAGTATCTAAAATAAAATGTTTCTTTGTTGACCTAAGTAGGAATAGACTTAATTTTTTTACATATTACTTGTGTGTATTGGATTTTGACATCAATGTTTTACTTTATTCAAAGAGATATTATATGATACTAAATTAGTCTTAATCACATTTCAAAATGTTTGGAAATGTTATTAGATATTTTTTGTTCTTTTTGATAAGAACTTTTTCACTATTATTAGTGGTTATTTGAGATTTAATACATCATCTTTTTGTGAATATTTCTTTAAGTATATAGTTACTATTAAATGTTTTTCTTGGTTTTTTACAGATGAGACTTTTATAAATATTTTCTTCTTTTATAGATATTTTTTAATACTTATTATTGTAATTTGTTTTTTTTTCTTGCTGATATTTGAATCCAATAGAAAATATAATTATTATATTTTTAAAATAATTATAACAGGAAATTATTTGTTCAAATTTTTTGGAAAATCAAATGACTTAATATTAGTAGTGTACAGGAGAGTTCAATTCATCTCTACTATTATTTACTTCAAAAAACTAGAATTTCTACATGCTTATATATCTTTCTTTTTAAATGATATTTAAAGTTATAAAATGTTTATATTTTGAAATTATAAGAGGTTTATGATTTGCCTACATTGATAATCTGAAATTCGAATGGGAAAAAATTAATACTTGCGATTTTACAAGATTATTAACCACACTTAAGGATTAATAATACTATATGAATATGATTCTTGCTAATAACTAGTTCTGTGCCGAAAAAATTTAATTTTCTGACTGAAATGAAAAACCTTTAGGAACAATGGTTTTCCTAAAATTTAATATTGAAAATGTGAAACGAATTGCGATACAAAACATTTCGGAAAAAAATTGATAAATTAGAAATTATTATTAACATTAAAAAAATTTATCATTTTTATATTATGGATAGTTTGCATGAAGATTAATCTTGACATTTTGTTTCATAATATGTATCATCCATTTTTAATATCAAATATATTAATGGATTTTAGTATACATTTTTTTGTAAAATGCAAATAAAGTGGAATCATTTTATTCTGAAATTGCCGATACGTAGTATGATCCAAAAAAACAGGGAACTGCGGTAAGCAAGTACCTAAAGTTAAACCATTTGAAATGGGCTCTTCCAACTCTCCCGTGCCTGGCCAGGTTGGTTTAACCCTTTATCTACGGCATTATGATTTACTGCAGTGTTTTTCATTAAGATCCTCATTAACATACAAAAAAATAAGACTTATAAATTTTGACATTAACTGTTTTTTCGGGACAAAAATGATAATCTTTGCAAATCACTGAAAACGCAATTTCTGCTATAAACCTATTCGCCTTCCCCACTAAAATATTCATCATAGAACCCGTGCTGCCATATATCTTGGAAGAGGGGATTTCAAAGAATATTCCTGCTAAGTATTGTCAGAATATTCGTAAAATTGGTTATTCTATGTTATTTTAAAGTGAGTGGTACTTATAAGTACCATCTGTAGATAAAGGGTTCATGTGACCAAAGCACATGCGCAACTATTATCTTCCAAAGCTAGTTAGCTTTGCCTCGCGATGTAAGAAACATGACTTTTCTTCCACAGCTTTGAACATTAAATTCTGTCAAAGCTTTGGTAAAACACCAATGGAGACTATGGAAATTCTAAGTAAGGTATATGGTGAATCTACCATGGCGAGATCTAAGATTTACGAATGTCATCGGCGTTTTAAAGAGAGCCGAGAGTCCATCAAAAACAATGAACGCGTTGGACGACCATCAACTTCATGGAACACGGAAAATGTTGCGTTGGTGTCTGAATGTGTTAGAAAAGATCGTCGACAAACATGTGCACAAATCACTGTGGCAACACACTTTTCGAAGACGCCGTTTGAGGGAATCCATTCGTCGTAAATGGCTACAGTTCTGGCAGAGTGATGACTGATATCGTGTGTCTGCATGACAACGCACTGGCACATCGATCCCAATTGGTAAAAGAGTTCCTTGCCTAAATTTGCACTAATGTGCTTTCACATCCCTCTTATTCACCAAGGCTTGGTCAGAGGGAACAAGTATGTCTCCAGTGGATTCCATCACATATGGGTGTGCCTGGGAAGGAAGCTGCTGCTGATGAGCTGGCTGGTGGGGGATGTGATCTCCCTAACCCCAGTTCCACTGTCTTAACCCATTCGGAAATTCATTCATTCCAAAGAAATAAAATGAATTTGACTTGGCGAAACCCTCACGCTCACCACTGGTATGCAGCTAAGAGTCCTGGCCTATCTATACAGTGCAGGAGTTTCAGGGCTCATCAGACGGACTTGGCGCGCCTTAGAAGCGGTCACCTGCGTAGTATGACTTTTGTGCAGGGGGTAAAGTCTTTCTTACCTGTCCCTGCTCTCTCCTGCTCATCTTTTGGACTGATGGGGCATTTCCCTGCGACAGTTGTATGAAGAGAAAGACCTGGCGTGTGACGCCTTTACGCGGAAAGGTCAAATGGACTTGGTGTAGGCTTTCCTGCTCCAAGGGGATTGGAAACAACAACAGACTTAGTCCGATTTGACTTTTACCTGTTCCCATCAATGAAAAAACATTTACAAGGACTCCGTTTTGTGTTATCAGATGAGGAGAAAGAATCATCTTCAGAACTTACGGAAGGTCTCGAAAATGGCTTCCAACTATGTTTCCAGAAGTCATACGAACGCTGACAGAAGTATATTGTCAATCAAGGGGACTAATTTGAGGATGGATGTGCTTATAGGTACACTGAACTATTCTAAGTTTTTTTTCTATACCTTGTTCCCCGAATTTTTGGATAATACTACGTATTAGTTCCTCTTTCAAGCTTGAAATTGTATGTTATCCAAATATCTGGATAAGTATTTTATTATAGTACATTATATCCTAACTTTTTAAAACATAAAAATAAAGAACAACATCAAATACAAAAGCGAACATACATAACATTTTTCTTAAATGAATATATATCTATATATATATAAAGGAGAAAAGAGCGACTCACTCACTCACTGACTGACTGACTGACTAATCACGATATCTCCGGAACTATTGAACCTACAGACTTGAAATTTGGTAGATAGGTTCCTTTCATGCAGTAGACGTCAGCTAAGAACGGATTTTGCAAAGTTCGAACCCCAAGGGGCGTTATGAGGATTTAAGTGGCGTTATAGATAATTATTTCCATTAATAAACTATTAGATGTACAGTCGTGAAACTTGATACACAGATTTCTTTCATAAAGTAGAGATTCCCTACATAATGATTTTTACGAAAATCTATCTCCAAGGGGCGTTGAGGGCGCTTAAGGGGCGTTATACATAATTATTTCCATTTTTAAACTATTAGACGTACAGTCTTGAAATTTGATAAGCAGATTCCTTTCATAGAGTACAGATCCTCTACATAATGGGTTTTTTGAAAATCAACCCCAAGAGGCGTTGTGGAGAATTAAGGGGCGTTATATAGGCAATTACCTCCTTTTTTAAACTATTAGACGTAATATCTTAAAATTGAGTAAGCAGATTCCATTCACTTAGTAGAGATATGCCGTAAGATGGGTTTTGTGTATATCGTTTCCTAAGTTGCGTTGCGGGGGCTTAAGGGATGTAATAGATAACTATTTCCATATTTAATCTATTAGACGTACAGTCTTAAAATTTGGTAAGCGAATTCCTTTCATGGTGTAGAGATCCGCTGCAAAATAGTTTTGGGGGAAATTGATCCCAAAGGGTCACTGAGGGGGATTAAGGGTTGTAATAGATAAATATTTCCACTTTTCAACTAATAGAACCACCTGCTTGAAAATTAGAAGGTATGTTCCGTTCATGGAATAAAGTTCTATTTACAAAGATTTATGCGAAAATGGACCCCCAAAGGAGTGGTGTTGTGAGGGATTAAGGCGTGTTATAGAAAAATTCCTGTTTTTCAATTTAACTCATTTACTTGAAATTTGTTGAGCACTTTTTTTTCTTTAGTTGAATAGAGTTTCACTAAGAATGAATTTTACGGAAATCAACTCCAGGGGGAAGCGGGGAGAGTTATTGGGGCGTATTGATAGACAAAATTCCCGTTTTTGAACTGCTAAGACTATAATAATAAAATTTGGTTTGCATGCTTCTTTTGTTGAATTGGAATCCGCTAAGAGTGTGGTCAACGAGATATTGATGATAAAAATTCCGTTTTTGCTCTTTTAAATTTAGACTTGAAATTTAGCACGCATGTTTATTTTATGGAGTAGAGATCCACTGAAAGTTGCTTTGGTGGAAATCCACTTGATTATTAGGTTAAGTGAGCGAAAAAAAATCTTTCTCCTTCTATTTTAGATATAAATAGAAATTAGATATTATAATTTATGTTCTTTTTATATCAAGGGGCGAGAGCGTAACAGCTATAAATATATTTTTCAATACAATCGAATTCTTAATGCTAGATATCAATAATTAATATATATGTAAACAGTATACATATATACAACATCGTGAAATACCCAGTGAAGCGGGTGGGTAACGGCTAGTAATAATATAAAATGTTACTAAATAACAATAGAAAAGTGTTTCTATAAATGTTTCTACAAATTGCAAAAATCAAATATTAATCTACTATAATAGAAAAATGTTTCTAGAAATAACAAGTCCAAAAATCCCACAATTTTTGTTGTAAAACATTGCATTATTTCTTTTAAATCAAATATTTATATAAAATGAAACATATTCATATATTTAAAGATGCTGCACATTTAAGTCTAAGAATAGAATTAAATTC